AGAAAAGTGAAGTTTTGATGGGAAAAAAAAAAAGACTCCTAATATTTATTATTAAACCCTATTCTGTTATTGTCTGTCATTGTATTTAAAGTCTGCTTGTTTAAAATATGATTCACAATACCTCAAAGTGTGTTTCATAAAGTATGACATTAAGTGGAAAAATTATGTACAGAATGCCTAAAGCTGCTCTGACTACTTAATTTTCCATTTAACTTCAAGATACACTACTTGTGAAGATAACAGGTGGAAATTCGTTTGCAGAGCAGAGAACAGACATTGTCTCTCCTGAAGGCTTTACCCTTTTCTGTGATCAGACAGAACAGGGCAAAAAAGATGTTTTAGGGAAAATGTAACAGAGAAGACTAAAAGTAGTTTGAGTATAATAAATTAATTTACAGTTAACCTAATTATCTACAATATAAGGAGAAGCTATTTTAAAACTAAATCTAGACAGAAATTTAAAAATTCTGTGGCATTTGCTAATATACATGTATGTATGTCTAGGTGTACGTATAAACACATGGGTTCTTTTGGTAATGTTTCAAACTCATTTCTGAGAAACGGTTTTATATATTTAAGTGATATATTTCAGTATGCTTGACAAGTTCAGGATACAATGAGGTATAAGTTAAACAAAAAGTTTTTAATTTCTACAACTGAGAACATAGTAAAGCATGAGTCAGCAGAAGATGAGATAAAGAAAACACAATTTTGCTCTCTTTTTCTATGATTTTCTGTTCCAGAGAAATCAATGTTATCTTTCTTCTTTGCATAATACTCAGTTCCAGCAAGTCACTCCTTCAAATGGCTGTGGTTCTTGAATTTTGGCCATTCGGTACCTCATAAATTGATGAGATAATGATGAAAGGAAGAAAGGAGAACGTGTGTCTCAGAAATACAATTGTAAAATAACATTTAACACAATTTCTAGGTATTGAAACCAAATCTTACTACCAAAAAGCTTAATTTACTCCTTTAGTACTACTTCATTTGGTGACTATAAACTAAACTAAATGTTTAAACTAAATGGTGACTAAACTAGAACAGAGTAACAAGAAGTAACAGACTCCTTGACCATAATTTGAGTCTGTCCCAGCTGTTCATATCTTGCAGTTGGACTAATTTTATATGTGAAATTCAACTTTAGGTAACACACAAATTCTAGCACAAAAGTAGCACAAAAATTTCCAAAGGAACATCATGGGGTTATTTAATAATTTTCAAATCCTAAATTCATTAAATCATATACTTTATTCTAGTTCATAATTCAGATTATTTTGACAAAAACTAACACAATGCTAATTAAATTACTTCCTTCCTTGCCTTTTAACATAACCACAGCCACAAGCAAATGAATTATTTTGAACTGTCAGAATTTCAGGTTTATCTTACTGCATCTATATATACTTACAAGAACTATCAACAACATTACTTTAAAAAAATCCCTTCCATCTTGATAGATTATTGCCTTGTTTTTCCAAATTAAGTTAATTGTACTTGTATTGTTATTTTTGTGATTCAAAAATCTAAGAAATGAAACTTAAGTCAGATATTCCAAATGTTGGAACTGGGTGATCCTTGTGGTCCCTTCCAACCCTGACAGATTCTGATCTGTTTTAGCAGAGGACTTTAGAGCCCTAATGGCTCAATGGTTGGAATTGATGATCTTGGAGGTCCCTTCCAACCTAAAGGATTCTATGATTCTATGAAATAAGATATCCTTTGCATTACCTTATTAATGAGCTTGAATTCAACAACTTATGCTGCAGATTCTGACATACTACTGATATGTACAGCTCCCAAATCACACATCTTCTCAAACTTATATTAGCCATATAAATGTAACAGTATTACAAGAAGGGGCATCTGCCTCTTGTCCCATTTATTTTCAAAGATACAGTATGATCCTAGTTTATCTCATATGTCTACAGTGCAGGTTCCATCTTTAAACTAAAAATGTTATTTGTCATGTAGTAAAGATCTACATTTAGTCACATCAATCACAACTGAATATGTTATTTATTAAAAACAAAAAAAAAGTAGTCTCGCCTTAGGAACTCCCAGACTTTTTTCAAAGCCACTACCTTTACCAAGACCAATCCAACATCATTATCATGGTTTAATCCCAGCCAGCAATTATGCACCATGTAACCACTCACTCTCTTCCTCTCAATGGGGGTAGAACTGAAAGGGTAAAAGTGAGAAAACGAAAAACAATGATGCAAAAGAAAACAAGTGCTACGCACCAATTGACTGGTGCCAGACAGTCCCTGAGCAACAGCAGCCCCTGTCAACATCCACCCATCAGATTTATTGCTGAGCACAATGTCATGTGGTACGGAATATCCCTTTGGTCAGTTGTGGTCAGCTGTCCTAGTTGTGCCCCCTCCGAATCTCTCACGCACCCTCAGCCTCCTCGCTAGTAGGGCAGTACAAGAAGCTGAGAAGTCCTTGGCTTAGTGTAAGCACTGCTCAACAATAACCAAAACATCAGTCTGTTATCAACACTGTTTTCAGTAAAAATGCAAAATATCAACCCATACAAACTGCTATGAAGAAATTTAACTCTATCCCAGGCAAAACCAGTACATAATTCACCGTCTCCCAAAATGAAACATCGTGCACTCCTGAAACTTTAAATTTGCTGAGTTTACATACAGTTTAGATTAGTTTACTGAGCAACATTCTCATGAGATGTTACCCACAAAAGTTCAATAGAATAGTTTTGTCACTTCAGCATGTTGGAGAAAAGTAATTTTATATTTATGAATAATCAAGTATTCTTTCAAGTATTCTTTTAGAATTTCTTTCAAAACTAAAAGTAGTAATAATTTTTTTGACTCTGAGTCTATGAATATTGTACCGACTACACACAGTGAAATGCCACAAATATTATATTAAGAAGGATCGTTTCCCTTCTGCAGTGGCACTGTCTAGCTATGCAACCAAAATCAGTCAAATTCAGCTCTCCAAAGAAGTAACAGATGTGTCTGTAGTTCAGCATGTTTTCTTTATTATATTTTGTAGAGTAATTAATAAGAGTGGTGATTGCATCATGAAAATAATTATTTATACTCCAGTGTGAGTAATATTATTTCTTCCTATATATGTATTTTCCGTTTGCTAACTGCTTCATTTATTTTGTTTTCTTCAGAGATAATAATGCTTGCCTTCTTCATCAAATATCATGTTAATACCAATAATTGTGGTTTCCATAGATCTGTTATCTCACTGTCTTTTTTTCCTCTAACTTTTACAAATCCCTCTGTTTATGCCACTTACTGTTTTGTCCCAGATCTTTAACAAGGATACTAAATAAAACAAGATCTTACACTGATATACTGGACAATGAATTACAACTCATTTTGTGTCATTTCTATTATATCCTGGGTGTAGGTTTCTGAGCAAGATTTCAAGACAGTTGTTGACATCTCTATTCAAAAAATGTGATCCTTCTTCAATGATATTTTTTTCATATCAAAAGTAGTATTAAATGTAGGTATTACCTCCAAGAAGCATAAAACAATTTCGATCACAATGCAGCTGTAGTGTAACTACTGATTGATTGTAATTTAAATAATAACTTGCTTATTATACTAGCTTGCCACAGCTTGGGATTTTTACTGTGCTTAGCCATAAATACTTTCAATGTGTCCAGAGTGACTGTCAGCAAATTCTGTTGTACATTCCATCAGCAGCACTCCAACCTTCTATTAATTTTGTCATTCCAACTTAAAAGAAACTATCATTTTTGTCAAACATGAATTTTTATTTGGAAATGCATACTTCTTATTGATTGATGCTTGATTATCACCTCTTATTCAAGGGTTTCAGGAACACGTAACTTATGCAAAATCCGAGATCACACACATCATTGTTTTTATATCAATGAATAATGTTTTTATTGTCACTGACTCCAGCATTCATTGTACTTAAAACATATGATTTAGGTAATTTCCCATTATAGTAACCAGGCAATTCAACTAGGACTTTTTCTTTGCAAAATTTAAAAAATACAGGTATCCTATAATACTTCATAATAACTCTTTTCTCTTTCCTCCATGAATATTTTTCTCTTCAAGATATCTCATTTTATCACAAGAGCATTACAGTTGTACAGATTACATCTGAAGTTGTTGGGCTGAACTGTTGTCCTTCACATAAATGATTCCCCCATATTTGGAAAAAATGTTATATTAAATAATAGCTATTTACAGTATGGAAACATGACACACATAACATAGCACATAGAGTTTCCATCTCCCCATCTTCTCTCAACCCACAAAAGGAATAAATAAAGCAAAACTATTCAGTAACTAGCTCCATAAACAAAGAGGCTTGACAAAGTGGTGGTTTGATAAGAATATTGGAAACATACAAAATATGGAAAGGCTCCTGAAGAAAGAAGGAGAGGGAGAAGTGAACAGGGGTTAGATGGAAAGGGAAATGGACAGGGAGGGAGGAAGGGAAAAAGGGACACTGTGAAAAGAAGGAAGCGAGAAAAGGAGAGAACAGCAGAAAGCAGGAGGGAAAGAATGTGATGTAGAGAGATGGACAGCACATGGTGAGGGAGACAGTAAGAGACAGGAGAGTGTCTCAGCACAGCTTTAACAGAAGACTATCTTGTGGAAATAAAAAACCAAACAAAACAAAAATAATAATTAAAAAAAAAACCACCACCACAACATACACAAACTACCATGTCTTTGAGACAGTTCTTTTAAATAAAAGGACTGGTTAAAACTTACTGTCTCTATTAGGAATTGTACTGTTTCAGTTTAATTATTCACCCTCGATTCAAGAAGAACAGGGTTGTAGTCTTTCATAATAACCAAGTTTTCTTCAAAGGAAAACATTTATTTGTCAGCGTAAAATACCCTATTATGCTACTGAGACCCATATTGTCCCAGTAAAATACCCTATTTGTTGCAAATATCTACTAAGCAATTTAATCTAATGTGCAGACATCTTAATTTTCCTTTTCTGAATTTCATAACACTGAACCCTAAAGAAACTGCTCTGCTTTTGCTTATAGGTGTCTTTGAACACATATAGCATTCCTCATCATTCTTTGCTAACACTTCCCTAAGTGTTTGCAAAAACTTTAAAAAAATGATATATATTGTCAACTGACAATTTGCTTTCCAGAAAATGAATCCATGTTGTTGATTGTTCTCAAATACTACCCAATGTTCTTAAAGCCATCCTAGATTACAGAGACTTCCTCATTTTCAATTGTTATCAGTTACACACACTCTTCAGCCACTACTGACATATTTAAGTTTTCCCATGTCATCAATACTTCAATTTCTGTTTCTATTAAGGAAAGCATTGCACCTATTCTAGGTGTACACAAAGCTAATTTGCTTTTCAAATCTGATCACTGCTATATATTTTGGTCTTTTTTTCCTGTATGTTCCCAGAGCTCCTTTCATGTAAAACTCATAGGAAGACTATTTACTATCAGTGCACTGCTGAACATTTTAAAATGTAGTTTAATCCTTTAATCATAGGTTTGCCAAGTTTTCAAAAATGTTATCATCTATGTAAGTGTTTCAAAGCAAGCTCATGGCTTCTGAACTTTTTTTAAATCTTCTTAATTAAAGGACATTAATATTCCAAAACTAGTTTTGGAGAAACATATTGCTTATGTTAGCTTCTCTATTTGGTGATATATAAAAGAAAGGAAATGCAACTCTGCAGCATGGTGCTTTCCCTCAATTTCTCTTTTCACTTGTGGCCACAATATCACTTTGGGGTAATACTTGATAAAACTTTACCAGAAGATGAAGGAAAACACCGTGCTTACAAAACACTGAATGCAACGGCTAAATACAAGGTGCAAGACAGATACAAATTGTGAAACCTTTGCCTGCTGATCACAATAATGTGAGACACTGTAGCTTCCTGCATTGCCTCTCTAGGACAAGAATGGCTGAAGAAGAAAAGGAAAATTATCTGATTTTTTGTTGTCTTACAGACAGGCCCAACATCTGTATATGCTTCCTGACACCTTTAATTCAAATATAAGCGGGATATACAAAAAAAATCTTTTGATCTTTTGCTTTATCTCTGTAGAAAAAAAAACAACAAATCAAGTCAGAAGACACACTACCTATTCTTAATTTTTAGTATCACAGATAGAAAATTTGTATTCCAATCAGAGAAGTAAAGTTCCTTCTTGAAACAGCAAATTGCAAAAATGCAGCTGGTTTATTTGTCTATTTGAGGTAACTCTTCCTGAATTAGTAAGATGTGAGGAAAATACAAATACACATAGGTTCACGTATGAGGGTAGGAAATGGGATTGGAATCGGAACTAAAACTAAACTCAAAATAGATTGAAGACAAAGCATATTAATGCATTACTCCAGGTCGAGCTATTCACTCTTCCCCAGTCCCCTGAATCTAAGAATGTGGCTAGAAGCACAGAAATAAGAGGCAACTAACTGTCAGGTATTCAAGCACAAATACAGGCTGAGCAGAGTATGGATTGAGAATAGTCCTGATGAGAAATACTTGGGGGTGCTGGTTGCTGAAAAGCTCAACTTCAGCGAACAATGTCCAAGTGCAGCCAAGAAAGACAACCATACCCAGGGCTGCATCTAAAGAAGCACGATCAACAGGTCAAGGGAGGTGATTCTCCTCCTTTATTTCACCCTCACAAAATTCTAATGGGAGTACTTCACCCTGCTCTGGAGCCTCCAATACAAGGAGGACATGGACCTGTTGGAGTAGGTCCAAAGAAGGTCCATGAAGACAGCTGGAACAGCTCTCCTACAAGCGCAGGCTGAGAGAGTTGGGTTGTTCAGCCTGGAAAAGAAAAGGCTGTGGGGAAGTCTTCCAGCATGTGAAGGAGGCCTTCAGGAAAGCCAGGGAGGGACTTTTACAAGAGCTTGTAGTGAAAGGACGAGGGTTAACGGTTTTAAACTGGAACAGGGTAGATTTATACTAAGTATTCAGAAGAAATTCTTCGCTATGAGTGTGGCAAGACACTGGAACAAGTTGCACAGAGAACTTGTGGATGCTCCATCGCTGGAGGTATTCAAGACTGGGTTGGATGGCACCTTGTGCAACCTGGTCTAGTGTGAGGTGTCTCTGCCCATAGCAGGGGGATTGGAACTTGATCTTTAAGGTCTCCTCAAACCCAAAATATTCCATGATTCTAAGATAACAGCTTTTATGAGAAGACTTTGTAATCAGATATCAACTTGAGAAGAGGTATATTGTTTTATTTAACACATAAAAATAAGAAAAGTCAAAGACAATCTGGAACTTAATTTGGTTACTGTCATTAAAAAAAAAAAAAAAAAAAGTATTTCTATAAATGCATTAACAGAAAAAGGAAGACTAAGGAGAGCTTCCCTCCTTTATTGGACTTGGGGGAACTGGATGACCAAAGATGAGGAAAAGGCTGAGGTACTTAATGCCTTCTTTGCCTCAGTCTTTAATAATAAGACTAGTTCTCTTAGGGCCCAGCTCCCTAAACTGGAAGACAGGGACAAGGAGCAGAATGAAGTCCCCCCCTAATCCAAGAAAAAATGGGTGACCTACTACACCACTTAGACACACTCAAGTCTATGGGGCCTGATGGAGTGTACCCAAGGGTAGTGAGGGAGCTGACAGAAATGCTCAGCAAGCCACTTTCCATCATTTATCAGCAGTCCTGGCTACCTGGGGAGCTCCCAGCTGACTGCAGGTTAGCAAAGGTGACACCCATCTACAAGAAGGGCCAGAAGAAACATCCAAGGAACTACAGACCTGTCAGGCTGACCTCAGTGCCAGGGAAGGTTGTGGAACAAGTCATCTTGAGTGCCACCACAAGGTACATAAAGGACAACCAGGCAATGAGGCCAAATCAGCATGCGTTTATGAAAGGCAGGTCCTGCCTGGGTAACCTGGTCTCCTTCTATAACAAGATGACCCACTTAGTGGACTAGGGGAAGCCTGTGAATGCTTTTTACCTGACTTTAATAAAGCTTTTGATACCATTTCTCACAGCGTTCTCCTGGAGAAACTGTCTGCTCATGGCTTGCATAGGTGTATGCTTTGCTGGACAGGAAACTAGCTGGATGGTCACGCCCAGAGTCAGTGGCAGTGGATGGACTGAAATCCAGTCAACAGCCAGTGACAAGTGGTATTCCCCAGGGCTTACTACTGGGGCGTGTTCTCTTTGATGTCTTTGTTAATCATCTGTATGAGGGGATCATGTACACCCTCAGTAAGTTTACAGATGATAACAAGTTAAACGGGTGTGTTGATCTGCTTGAGAGTCAGCAGGATCTACAGAAGGATCTGGGCAGGCTGTATTGATGGGCTGAGGCAAATGTTATGACGTTCAACAAGGCCAACTGCAAAAGTCCTGTGTTTAGGTCACAACAATCCCATGCAACCCCTACAGGCTTGGGGAAGAGTGGTTGGAAACCTACCTAGCAGAAAAGGACTTGAGGGTGCTGGTCAACAGCTGGGTGAACACAAGCCAGCAGTGTGGCCAAGATGACCAGCAGCATCCTGGCTTGTATGTTGTGAAGCCAGCAGGACTAGGCAGTTGATTATCCCCCTGCACTTGGCACCGGTAAGGCTGCACCTGAAGTACTGTGTTGTTTTGGACCCCTCACTCCAAGAAGGACATTGAGGTGCTAGAGTGTGTCCAAAGAATGGCAACGAAGCTGGTGAAGGGTCCAGAGAGCAAGATTTACAGGGAGTGAAGTGGGATTATTTAGCCTGGAGATAAGGAGACACACAAGAAATCTAATCACATTCTACAACTGTCTGAAAGGAGGTTGTAGCAATGTTGGGGTCATAAGTGATAGGACAAGAGGAAATGGCCTCAAATTGCACCATGGGAAGTTTAGGTTAGATATTAGGAAAAATTTTGTCACAGAAGGGGTTGTAAAGCACTAGAACAGGCTGCCCCAGGAAGTGGTAGAGTCATCATGCCTGGAGGTATTTAAAAAGTTGTGTAGATGTGATGCTCAGGGACATGGTTTAGTAGTGACCTGGCAGTGTTGGGTTAAAGGTTGGACTTGATGATCTTTAAGATGTCTTCCAACCAGAATGATTCCATGATTCTGTGAAATGTTATTGAAAATGCTACTGTTTTTAAGGGTGGGTTTTTGTTTTGTTTCCCATCACTTTGGAGGTAAACATCTTACATACCTTTTCAAGACCTTCTTCCTTGAGGCTGATAACATCTAAATCAAAATCTGTCCTTAAGCCATTGGTTTTGTTGAATGTTATCCTGCCTGTGAGGCCTTCCCAGTGGGCCTATGGAGAAAGAAAAAGCAATTTCTATATATAAATACCTTTTCCTTTTTTTTTTTTTCCCCCAAGAGCACAAATTTTACTCTGCCAAAATGGAAACATTAATTATTTATTCTATCTAAATAATTTACCTTGTGGCTGACTTTTTTTTTTTTTTAATTTTGTGTTCATTTTTTGCTAATTAAATCAACCTTTCCAGAGTCCTCACAGACAAATTTTTTTAACAACTTTCCATCTTAACCAATAGACTCTTCTTATTAAATGAGATAAAATATTGGTTTATTTTCATTCTTCCATCATTCATGTGTGCCTTTCCCCTTCTGCTTCCCTACATGCCCCGCCCTGTCCCACACCCATGCAGCACCTCACCTTTCCCTTACCTATCCCTCTCCTAAGGAGGGATTCCCCTCTCAATCTCTTTCACAAACTCTGAATGTCATTTTTCTGTCAGGAGATTTCATTCTAATATTGGCTTGCTTTTGCATGGTGCTGGGAACCCCTGAAACCACACTGAGACACCAAAAATTGAGGTCACTGAGACAGTCCCAGAGCCAATTCCATACTTTTAATGAAGTACACTATCTTCATGTTTTTATAACTTAAAGTCTACCTAGTTCTAAAATTGTGCTAAAAAAAGAGGAGGGAATGTGTAAAAAAATAAAATTATCATCATCCTGAAAGGAATCAATATTAAAACCAGGATTATATTCCAGTGCAAATTGTCTTTTTTAGCATAGTATTTTGCACATCTAGAATGAGAAATACTGTCTTAGGTGTTACTTACAGTGCAATAGATTTAAATACTCTACAGTGTTATAAAACTTTATCACCTTAAATCTCATTTTACTTCAAATCACTATCTATCAGAATCTAAACAGCATACTAGAAGACTAAGACCACATATATTAATTCACCGTAGGAAAAAAAAAGGCAGCCCCCCAAAATAAAAAAAAACCAAAACAACTAAAACTCTAAACCTTGGAAAAAAACAAACAAAACAAAAAAATACAAACCAGGGAGTAAACTTGATTCTTGGGCCCTTTGAACTTATGCTAGTATCTAGTTGCTGAATTTTTCATTATCAGCCTGTGACTTGAGGTTTAAAGGGAATGTTCTGGTTTGGGTTTTTATGCTACAAATGTTCCAACCACAGCCATCCACACACACCCTACCCACTCAAAATATTTACAAACCAAAGTTTTATTTAGAATGCAGTTATTTCTCCCTTGTATGTTACTTTGTTCCAACTAATACCTCAGGAATACTTTATTTTCAAATACAAATACTGCCTTGCCTGCTAAACTCTTTACACATAACAAGCTGAGAAATTCCCACCTAGAAAAAAATAAATAAATAAATCAAGTAGAGTGGAAATAAAAGAAAATGGGAGTTGGGACAAAGGAAAGCAATGAAGTAGGATATGTTACCAGTGACTTACCTCTTTAATGAGACTCATAAAGCGGGTCCCAAAGCGCCACGGCTTGTGGCGGTTGCACTGCAGTGAACTGACAGTCATCTGTGGAAACTGCTGGACAGCCACTGACACCACGTGAACTGCATCATACATCAGTGCTGCGTCCGTCTGGAATTAGAATGAAATTGGAACCATGAGCATGAAACAAAAACCTGTGACAGCCCAGCAGTGAGAGAAAGAAACAAAAAATTAGCACTGGTCATTATGTTAAAGGGAGAAAATAATCGAGTTGCTTGTGTAGCAGTGTAAAGTGCAGCCTTGTTTCCACATCCTACATGAAACGTGTCAGGACCTTCAGTCTCAGCTTTTCTCTGTAATGCTGAAATAAAGGCCCAGATACCATTTTTTCAGGATCACAGAATGTTGGTATCTCTGATGACTCAAGTTACTTTTAACAAGCAGTGGATTAGATGGCTATGTAAATCACCATACACATTTGATCCGAGTCAGTTATTTCCAGGAATGAGGCACAAGAGAAAAATAATATTTGCAAGGAATTAAAACCTTAGCTATGAGGGGAGTGCCCAGGCTAAGGAAATAGTGTCTTTCTGTTTTGAAATTACAGATTAGATGCAGTCCTAGAGGTACTCGATTCATTAATAATTTTATGGATATCAGTTTAAATCCCTAGGATAGTGTAACCAGTATCTTCTGTAAATCAGAAGCAAACAAGAATTGCATTAAAATGCACATTCATTTTAATGTTTTTCATGTCCCATCCTAAATAAGTAGTCTGTTTAGACCTGGGATGTGCTAACTACTATTGTATTAGCAAAGGACAGAGACAGACCCTCAGTACACACTGTTATGCTGAACAAGAAACTGACGTCTCTCTCCTACTCTATTTGATAAACAGAGGCAAGCCTTGGAACCAAAAGCAAGAGAGGACCTTAAATTCAGCCAGTGGAAATGAATGCTATACCATCTGCTCAGCATACCTTAGAGAAAAAGGACCTATTTCCCCTTCTCATTCACATAATTAGTGAGCTGTGAAATTAGTTCTTTAATGGATAGGAAACCTGGAGATTATTGCACTTGTCACAACGCAATACAATGCAATACAAAATGAGCTTATACAGTGCCTTTCATGCAAATGCATCCCAAGGCTCTTTACAATAAAACTAACCATAAAAATGCTAAAATGTTCTACCATTATAGCCTATAAGCTACTGTTAAAAAGGAAAATATGCGTTTACATTTAAATGGCTCTCCCAAGGAGAGATTTCAAAATTCAAATAGAAATAAATCCTAATTTTAAAATGGCCAGTATCATTGGTTTCAATGATCTCAGATGCCAAGTAGTTTATGCAGGGACTCCAAATCAGTCAGAAAATATTTTTGCTGCCAAATTGGTCATTATCTTTGAAGCATTAAAGTGCTTTCAAGGCAAGCTGATATTTGACAAGAAGGCAGTGAAACACCAAAAAGTTAGAATGACATGCTGAGTAAGCATCATACAAAGCTTAATATTCTAGAAGCAGTGCTTGGCAGAAATTGGAGTCTAGACAACAGTTTTTAAAATGAAATACACTGTAAGTATAACTCATTAATCTGGCTCAGAAAGGCAAAAGCCACATTTTTTAATCAATTTTACTTCTACAACTGTAGTCCTTGCACCAATGAAGGAAAATTGAAATTGCTGTGAAAGAACCTGTGAAGAAGCAACCAAAGTTCAAAAACAGCATTAACTGATTAATTAAATATCAGTTTGGGCATGGAACTGATAAGACCCATCAGCAGGCATCAAGTAGTCATTATGCCAGATCCAGAGCATCATCCCTTTCTGTAAAATTCTATAAGCCACTGAGCTGAAAATTTGTGGGATGTCCAGATAGTTGACACCAGTGGAAGCATTAAAAACTAAAGGCATTGCAGTTCTAGAAGTAATTCAAATTCTGATGATAATCTTTGGGTTTGACTGATGAATATTGCTTCAGTGGAAATAAATCTAAATCAGAATGTACTTTTAAATGTATGAAAACTAATCACTGCCTAGAAGTAAAGTACTCCATTTGATTTTTAGATGTTACAAGATAAATCCTTTATTTACATAGGATGAGGTTCCACAGTCCACCTTGTATAAGAAGATTAAAGTTAAATGTAAGGTTAAATTTTTGTACTGAATAAAAACAGCCAGAACCATATATTCAATTATACGTTGGTTTAGTGATTCAATATTGCCTTCATCTCACTGGGTGCAATCACTGACTTTACTACAAGAAAAACAGCACAGAACTCAGGAAAGGATGTAGCATGTACTTGAATTTGGAGGCTGGGCTCTCCTCTTAGCTGGTCACTTTAGCTTTTCTCTGAGAGACAGTAGGTATTGATAGCTGCTGACCTACGCCTTCACCCTCATTCATTAAGCGTGCTGAACTTTCTGTCTCACCACCCTTTCTCCATACCACTTCCTCATTGAAATCACACTTTTGGAACCATGCTTTGTGGTACAGGAACTACTGAAGGTTTAAGCAATAGACTGTTTGGGGAACAAAGGGGAAACATCCCTAATTACATTTTTAGAATTCTTTATTTAATCTAAACAGAAATGAGCAGTCTGGAAGGAAGAAGACATAGAAACTTCAGGAGAAAAAAATAGTTCTTGAATTTCAGATAAAAACCTGCTACAATGTTTCCACTCACTGAAGCATACTTAATACAAGAAAATAATCTTATTGAAAAATGAGGTTAATACTGGTTTAGTTAACTTCTGTAAACCTTTTAAGAATAATACTGTGTTTCACAGATATATCTTGGTACAGTTTCTAAAACAGGGGTTGTGGGGTTCTTTTTGGTTTCTCAATCCTTATTAGCGTTCATGATGACTTCCTTGTATACAGATAAACTAATCTAAAATACTGCTCATGGTACTGTCATTTGTAGTTCTACAACAAAATAAAAAAATTACTACAACCAAAAATGAAAAATAACTTACTACACAGAAGCTACACATTTTTTTCTAATTGTAATCAAGTAATTTGTCAAATGGAGAAAGAATAAGATTGAAGTAGGTAATTAAGAGGTCAGGTAATAGATGCATGTGACCACAAGTATTTTTTTAAGTTGACTCTGTCAAATAACAAGAAAGCTTTTAACACTCATAGGTAACAGCTTAATCAGACACATGATTTCAGTCACAATATATTTCAAACAGAGAGACAGTACAAATCTGTGTTTGATTTTTATCCCAAACTCAGCTGGATACTACACATTTCTTCTTAGTACTATTGTGTCTTTCCTTTACCTCCTGTTCTGTTGTGGACATTGTCTTTGCCTCTATATTTTACATGTGTTTCTGTATAATCACTTTTAAGTCTTACTAAATGTTGTCTAATAAATTGCATGTAAGTACTTTAATCTCACTGTGAAAGGACTTTGGTAGAGATAGACTCAGTATAAGGAAGATAGAAAAAGAGTCTCCTCTATTATTAGGGCAAGAGGCTATTATTTCTCCCTGGGCCTTCTCACAGCAAAAGGTGGCCTTTTGGTTCTCTATCCCCAGCTGCACCCAAAGATGTCAAAGGCATGTGACAAGCTCTAGTAGATATATGCTGTGATTTTTGTCACACTCTTGCTTGTCCTGGTTAATCAGTATTGTAGGGAGGGTTTCAGATTTGTGGGCTTGGAGTCGGGGCAGGAGGTTGGCAGGGTAGTGTTTTTTACTGGTTTCTAATCTGTATGGAGGAAGCTGATGCAGAAGAAACCCACTACAGCCTGGGTCTCAATCCAGAAGAATTCTTCCCCATGTAATGGAACTGACAGACTTCTTCTCTGACAACTCTTTCTGCCCCTCTCCTGACTTACAAAAGTTATAATTTTTAGTGATGCAACTTGAGATCTAGATCTGTACCTTAAGACCTTCCAGTAAAAGCAAGATAAATGGCTCACGGTATGACATACAGATAAAATTCAGACAAGTCAAACAGAACAGAGGAGTTATGATCTTCGTAACCATATTCAGACTTACAGTACACAAAAGTTCATTGATACCATTTGATATCTGAGTCAAAAAATGTGCTAACCGCTTTTGGAATACCTGTGTTTAATTAACTATTAGGGTTTAAAGAAAAGCTCATATTGCACATTTAACAACACCTAAATATGACTTGTGTGCACCTTATTTGCACAGCAATGTTTTTGTATGACATTTATATTTATCTCCATCAAACTATGTGAAGATTTCACGTAACAATAAACCACTCTTCTCTGGTTCATATCTCAATAGCCCAGAATTATCTCTAAATTGCAAAAATATGTGCTTATCTTTAGAAACATGATTTTTATCATGCAATCAAATTTAACGTTAATTTAAGATGAAGGATTGCTAGGCTAATTCTGTATCTTCATGAGCTGTACTAGAAAGAGTACACTTCACAAACAGAAAAAAAAATCATATTTTGGCTTTTAATATAAGAAATTGTAGTCCTCTATAATTTATAAAATTAAAATA